CTCCAGAGGACGCCAGTCACACAGGTACACTCAGTTTCAGACTCCATCACGCTGTGTGTATGCTTAGGATAGTTACACCTTTCTGTTTGTACACTGCACTTCAAGACTGTATTGAGATCAGAAAGGCCTGAAGAGAATCTTATACTTTGAATTCAGAGAAGCTGGAAAATGGAAAACCCTCAGGCCGTCCAACTCCTATGGACCGGATTTCCTGCTTCTCTAAGGGCAGCTCTGACCACTCTGACTGACACTAGCCATGAACCGGGGTACACGTGCCTGTGTGTCACCTGTGTGTGACTTATGAACAACACTGCAATTCTGTGATTAATAAGTCGGTAGGAAAATTGGAATTCTTAGCATTTTGACCTAGGCTCATGCGCTTGTAGAAATAAGCATGGCTTTTTATTGAATGGCCTTGCTCTTTCACTAGATTACTAAACCTAGAGATGCTAAGTGCCTTTCCTGAGGTGATTCAAGCAGATACTGACCGAGCCTCCTAAGTGGCTGGCAGAGCAGAGCTTCTCAAGGGAAGAGGGAATGGAGCACGCGTTGCCTGTGTTCTCATATCCAATACACAGGTCAGCTCTGGCGGGATGCTTCTGTGCAGACAGAGGTTCAAAACGATACAAACACAGGTTGGTTGGGAGGGTGGATTGGGGGCAGGGACTCAAGCCCCCCAGCATGTCTCTGTGATGGTGGAAATGGCTTTTGTCTATGCTGTGCACGACAGTAGCGCCTGGTCACGAGAGACTGCACATTTAAAACGAGGCTAGGCAGACTGTGGAATTGAGTTGTTAATCTCCTTACAGTTTGATATATTCAAAAGTTAATAGCCACATGTGATTACTCCTGTCCAACTGGGCAGGGTAGAGGACTCCTCAGCTGACCAGAGGGGGCGGTCATCTCCTGGTCCTGGCCCTAGAGCTTCCTTTGCGTCAGACCTTGGTGTGTGGGTGCAGGAATGGAGATTTCAATACCTGAAGCATTCGCAAACACTGTGCAAGCACTACCTGAGGGTCTACAGGCCGCCCCATGGTGGACAAGATGTGGGACTACCCTTCACAAGCTCATTACTTAGCAGGGAAGTTCAATCCTATACACACAGAGATAGAACGTAATCCGCACTAACACAGGACAATCTGGACCCACGTAAGGAATACAAAGGCCAGAGTGTCTCGTAATGCTGAGACCTGAAGGGGAGGTTGTAGAAAGGCAGGAACTTCTGAAACCCCCTCGCCTTGCTTCCTGGAGGGCGATGCACAGTGACGGCTGGCTGTGAGACAAGCGGGCAGCAATCCGTTCACAGGGGGGCAGGACAGCTTGGGTTCACATCCCGGCCACTAGCTTGGTGATATGAGAGAATTCCTTAACCTCTCTGAGCCGCAGCGTCCGCAACTGTAAAATGCGGTTAGCACCTCCGTCCAGCACAGTAAGTACTGAAAACAGAGTGAGCCTCCATTATTAACACGAGTCTTGTTACTACTGTTATCAGCCAACCGGGCTGAGCATAATTCTGCCAGCGCACAGCCAGCACCTCTAGCAGGGCCTCAGCTACTGAGCAGGCACAGCCACAACAGAGCGAAGGACACAGCTGAGCAGGTGAGCGCTGAAAGAACGGTGTACCAGCAGATGGCGACGTCGGTACCAAGTTCCCTCTAGATCCACTCAAATGATTCCTGGGTCCCCAGTTTACTAAGCAGCAAGCTTGGTCTAATATTTCTGCATCTCTTTTGAAGATCCTATGGCCGTACGTTAATTTAGGCCTATAGGCAAATTGGAACAAGAAGAAGAAACACAAAATACAAAACAGGGCCAGGAGTTATATAAGGGGACTTCAAAAATGTACGGAAAATTAGAATTATAAGATAACAAATTTGTACAGAAAAGAGCTCTCAGCACACGGAATCCGGGCCCGCCAACCAGGGAACAAGCAACAGAAATGAAGGGAGACAGTGGATGGTGTAAGATATGAAATAACAGTGATTTATAATTATCAAGGAGTCACAAGGGTGGGAGGGAGGGGAAAAAGAGGGCTGATACGAAGGGCTCTATTAGAAAGAAAATGTTTTGAAAATGATGATGGCAATATATATAAAAATGTGCTTGATACCACTGATGTAGGGATTGTTATAAGTGCTGCAAGAGCCCCCGATCAAATGATATATATATATAAAAGATAACGGAATCTTGAACCCTCCGCTCACCCGCACGTGTCAGTCAGCGTCACGCTGCTGCGGGCAGACACCGTGATCTCCAGTCCCCACTACCCGAGAGCCCCACTCACCGTCGCAGTCAAAGAGTGCAAACACCACGTCGCACACGTGGTCGGAGAGCTCCACCTTGGCCACTGTCCTGGCCACCTGCCGCATGGTCACTGGGGGGGGAGAGAGGGCCGAGTTAGCACAGCAGAGACTCAGTTTGTTTTCTCTGGATGCGCGGGAGGACTGCAATCTGCACGGTGGGCAGTTCTACACCACCGGCAGCTCTGCTGGAGAAGACTGGCTGCGCACTTCCGGAGCAATCACCGTCTGAGAAACCCGCAGGGGTCGCTCGGAGTCAGCACTGACTCCACCGCGGTGAGAGAGGTGGGGGTGGGGCTGAAACGGGGACGGGACTATTTAACGATTACCAAACTTTTGAACTACTTTTAAGTCATATTTACGAAAATGGGAATTTACTTTTTCTCTCTAACAGCCTTTTTCTTCCCCGTGCTGCTACGCTTGAGAGGTCCTGGAGTCCTCATTCGGCGATGAGGACTGCAGTTCATACACACATGGGGGTGTACTCCAAACGCTTTCACACGCATCTCTGCCACCAGTGGATGGCTGCAGCCAATGCTCTCAGCAACGCACTCGGCTTTATCTCAGTGCCGCACGCACGCACGCACGCACGCACGCCCAATCAAAGCGGTGCCTTCCGTGGCTCTGCTGGGCCAGTTCAATTCAAGGCAGGGACGTCAACTGAGAAGGTGATGGCCAGTCTCGGGGGAGATTCTCAAGAGGCCATCTTGACAGACTTTGATAGGGTGATCACAGGCGCGTATGAGGAAGAAGTCTTTTTTTTTTTTTTTTTTTTTTTAACATTGTATTAGGGGCTCATACAACTGTTATCCCAATCCATACATACATCAATTGTGTAAAGCGCATTTGTGCATCGTTTCTCAAAACATTTTCTCTCCATTTAAACCCCCTACATTAGGTCCTCATTTTTCCCCTGCCTCCCCGCTCCCCCCTCCCGCATGAGCCCTTGATAGTTTATAAATGGGTATTTTGTCATATCTTGCCCTGTCCGACGAGGAAGAAGTCTCAGGGAGAGTGAAAAGCGCACCGGGGAGGAAACGAGACCTGGAAAGTGCTGCGCCAAAGACTTTCTCCATCAGGACAGTGAAACTTGCGCATTCACTGAGGGGACAAGAGTTGTTCTACAGGGAACTCGTTGTGCACTGGAAAACCTTCTCCACCTGGAAGTCCTGATCTTGCCCCTTCAGCCTTCTTCTTGTTCCCGAAACGGAAAGCGCATTAACAAGGCACACGGCCTGAGACCCTCGAGGTTGCCGAAACGGTCTTTCATGGGGTGGAAATGGAAGAGATCAGACGTCTTTGGGGGAAAGGTTAGAGAGCTGACATACCACCTTCACAAGTGTTCCTCCATCTAGATGGAAGATATGTTGAGACGAGAGCTTCACGTTAATATATTCTTGTTGAATAAAGGTTTCTGTGATCGCATACCAAAAAGAATTGGTCATGTCCAACCATTTCCAGAGAGATCATAGAATCAAAAACCAGGGACATTGCAGGAAGAGGCCCCACCTGCACTGAAGGCACTGGTGAAAGCACAGGGCAGAAATGTTTCCACAAACTGACACAGCTGTGGAGGTGCTCATCTGTTCCCCCAAGAACTGGAAGAGATCCCCATGTGTGCCCATTCCAGAGAAAAGCGATCCAACAGAATACAGAAGTTATCAGAACAGTATCATTAACATCATATGCAAGTAAACTTTGCCGAAGGTAAGTAAAACAGGGGTCAACCAAAGAGAGGAAGACTCTCACAGAGACGGACGGACAGAGTCACTGAAGCAGAGGGTTCAAAGTGCCGTCAGCAGTGGCAGTGAGGACGGCAGAGGGCCAGGCGGGCTTCCTTCAGGCAAACGGGACGGAACCAACTCGTGGGCACTTTGGAACAGTGATCTTATAGCAATACTTTGCAACTCAGCCTTATATAAATTACTATAGTCTCCTTCTTGCATTTCCTTCTCACTGGAGACAATTTAAGGTCTGCTGGTGTTACAGGGGTTAAAGCACTCGGCTGCTAACCAAAAGGCCACTGGTTGAATCCACCACTGCTCGGCAGGAGGAGGACACGGCAGTCATTTTCTGTATGGACTCCAGTCTTGGAACCCTTTAGGGGGCAGTTCGACTCTCATAAGTCAGAATTGACTGGACAGCAGTGGGCTTGGTTTGGATTTGGGGCAAAAAAACCATGGTGACAAAATGTCATGATATTTGGTTTTGCTCTGTCTTGTTTTTGTGCATGTTGTTGTCTCCGCAGGTCTGTCTGGATAGGACAGGCTGGATGAACAATCTGGAGGAGAAAACAACAGGACTGACAGTTCCGGGAGGACATGGGAGAGG